GGAAGAAAAGTGCAATAATTTTAGATTTAATAAAATTTAGGCCTTGGCTTATGGAGTAAATTAAGGCAGTTAGGCGAACTGATTGCAATAATCAAACCCCTGAAAATTACTAATGTGTGAATCAACCTACCGGCCTTGGATGAGGGTTGTTACGTCGGAGTCGATCTGACGGTTTCATCTGCACCAATTTCCCAGACTTTTTAGTCTGGTAACACTGCCGATAGTGCGTTGCCATTGACGCCCTCTTCTTCAAAATACTTGCTTGGGGCATTTTTAAATGAGCCTTTACGCAAAACTGTTACGTACAGTACGAGGGTTAAAATTCCTCAATATAGTTTTTCACTTAAACCGCATGGAATCCAAAGTCTAACAACAACACTTTGAAGACGAATACACACAAAAATCTGCGGAATTCACGATTTTTGAAGCTAATTTACATGTACAATATATCACAAGTCAATCAAGCTCCTACAAGTTCTGTAAAAGATAAAGAACCACATTCATATGGTTTTCCATGGGTCCGAGTAAGTGACTACTTCAGTCCCGTGCCTCTGAAGGGTGCTCAGCGTTGCCAAGCATTGGTGCAAGTGCCAACAAAACTAGTTAGCGACCACACGACGATCGAACAGAGGAAAAAGCACAAAAGAGCATGACAGTGGAGGGATAAAAACTTATTGATATGCTCAATAATCCTTTTTTGTTAGCCCGTGCCATGCTTTGTGAATGAGACGCAAGTTGACAGTAAGCAGATAGATTACAGGCGGTGTGTTGTCAATCTTCCAGTTAGTTCAAATACATGGATTAACACGCCATAACTTAAACATAATATAGTTAACTATTTACTGTGCAATTTATGAGAAATTATATAATTTTCATTTCAGTTATACTAACGTTGCATCATCAAACAAATCAAGAAAACATGTGTTATGTAAAATATAAAAATGATTATAATAAAGCAATATTAATATGTTTATTAGTCTATTTTATATATTTATTTAAATATATTTTCTTTTGTGAATCTAGCTTAGGATATGTCTAGTACAACAAGCTTGTGTGACGTAGGACTGCCTGGGGACGTTTGACAAATATATTCTTCTAAAAGTATTAAATAATTGATGACTTTAAGAGAAAACTTGTAATATTTATTGTTTACACAACTCCCATCAATATATCATTGACAAATAAGAACAAACTTGACAACAGTTACAATGATGCCTTATGAGCGTGTGGAATCGCCATGACAACACAGGCATTAATCTAAATTAACCGTTTATTATTGCAGATAATAGTTCTAATGGAGGCATGTTATTATCTTTGATTAGAATTGTATATTAGCTTAATCATTAGTGATTACAGAATTCTATGTGAATTTTTATGAATTTATATGTTAAACATTTTTTTCATTATAGTTTCGTTTTTTGGTCAGATTGTGAATGCACTGGTAATCCACAGCATATTATTTGTCCAATATATAATAAAGATACTTTAGAAAATTGTTTTTTGTACACTGCAGATTTTAAGAAAAAAAAACATCAAAACAACACAAAAACATCATTACAGGAAAAAATACATATAAAATATCAATTAATTATGGACATTATATTGTTCTTGTTCCTCCTTTGTCTGATCCCCCTCCTCTGTATATATGTTTGTACTCTTGATGTTTTATTGAAGGAAATGAATATATTATTATTATAGGTTTGGCTTGTTACTCTTACCTTTTGTAAACTTGTTTTGAATTTTCTTTTATAACTATGATTTATTATTTTGTGTTGTATCTATTATAAGGTCTGGCTTGATATGACTAACGTATTATAGAGCTAGAGGTATGCAATATTATGTTATGATACCTGCATAATATACATACATAACATCATTTATATAGCGCTATTTCATGAAGATCATGCGCTCAAAGTAAAGCGTGGACTAAGGTAGCTCAGAGAGTATCTTTCTTCTCCCTAAGGGTTCCTTCGTATCTGAGCTGGCCGGTAAAACGGTCCAGCTACTCTCGTCTGTCCACAACATATAGTATAGCCATATTATCTCCATTTTAGTCTGTTACGGCAATATTAAATTTTATGCTGTTTTATTGTAATGGATAGGCCTATATAATGAATATATAAATAATTGTGTGTTGTAAGCATGGAACAGAGGCTAAGGACAAGTAATAAAATAATAATGAAGAATGCGAATTGTCTAGGCTCTACACGATCGATGTAAGGGTGACATATGTCCTTGATATTACCTCGATGGCCTGGCATGAAATAATGACAATGAACCTTAACATATTATAATTGATTGATTTATCTGATCATTTTCTGGGATAATTTGGTAATATCGATTGAACTATTCACCTAAAATACAATTATAGGCAATGGCTATTCTTTATACAACTTCAAATGTCTGGGGACGATGGGGCCATAAAGGCCACCTAGGCGGGGGAGCTTGAACTAAACACAATTCGTCCGAGAGAAAACAAATCTTTGTCATTTTTACATAGGTCTATTATAAGACTCTAAAATTGTTGGAGCTTCCCATGCCTTTCCTCTGGACCCCCTCTGAGAAGCTAGGATCGGCCTTTATCCCCATCTACGCTGCCGTCGGGGAATCGACCCTCCCCAAGCTGGGGACATCGTCGATCAATTCCTGGCTCAACCACTGTTTGGATCCGATGTCGGATAGGAGGGTGAGCATGATAATCAAATGGACCTCTTACAGCATCCCCACTGAAATACTTGATGTAGCAAACATCTGATTAATAATATACTTAATTTATGTCATAAGCCTACTGAACAAGGAGGAATGAACTCTAAATAATTGACTTTGTCAGACGAAAGTGCTATTCAACCGTGTTTATGTAACTCTAGACACATGTTAACATCGATGAGTTATATTGACATATCCACAGTGTTGATCTCGACTCTTAAACGGATTGTATTGATTTTAACGCCTGATCGACACAAACACCAACCAAGAATGTCAAAATTACCCCGAGTAATTACTGAAATTGATCTATTATCGAATCACCTAATGAACCGTTATGCGAGATACTATATTTATCACAATCTCATGAGAGGGGGGCAGGGGAAAAGATCCATGGGGCCCAAGCTAACCAGAAGCCCATAGAAAGTGCCGGTAGAATTTTGTTTTTAATATTTTTTCAAAAATAATAATTACTATCATGGGTCCTCAAAAATGGCATGGGTCCCCTAATAATGGGCCGCTCCAGATTGACAGCCCCCACCCCAACAACATTTTGAAGATAAACGGTGAAGGCAGAAAAGGCTAAAACAGTTGTATTGAAATACTTTAGGTATAATGAACGATATTCAACATAATACTGTATTGATTATTATAAATTGAAGCCTATTATTATTATTATTATTATTAAAATAATAATAATAATAATAATAATGATAGTTATTATTATTATTGTTATTATTATTATTATTATGCGATTATTATTATTATTATTATGCGATTATTATTATTATTATTATTATTATTATTATGCGATTATTATTATTATTATTATGCGATTATTATTATTATTATTATTATGCGATTATTATTATTATTTATCTTATTTATCTTGGGTAGTTATGATTGTAAAGCCTTATTGCACTGGAGAGGAACGAGTTTTTGTGGCGCTTACTGTTTTTGAGTGTGACAACCATTCTACCAGATTTGCTGAACTTTAATATAATGTGAATGTATGAGTTGTATCTTTGGAGATCATTATAAGTTTATCTAATATTATACTTTCTTCACATATGCATTTAATATATTTAGTATCTAAGCCTGTTATTTTAAATAACAATTTTTTTTTTATTATATTTTAACTTATTTACGTAAACTCGCTTTGGATTCTTGATAGAAATATCCGGTCGAATCTGTTTACGCTAATACAACGTTATTTGTATAAATTATCATTGTAGTAGCACCATGTTCGCAGTAATAACACACTTTATTATGCAAGTCGAATTGCCGAGCGGTTAAACAGGGGCGCCGCAACATCCATAGGGCCTAATATCGGCGCTGGTTCGAACGGCACGCTCGCCCATGGTTCTGGTGGTGGAACCAGTCTTCTCGGATAAAGACTATAAACAGTAGGCCACAGTGTACACAATTTGGCTCGTGTGCACTTTAAAAGAACCAAGTAGGCCTACATCTTTCGAGACGAGGAAGGGGTTACCTCAGGGGTGGCGCCAGGACTTGCCAGACGGGAGGGGGAGGCCGATGCTCCCAAAGAGGGGTCAGATTTCCCCGAAGAAAGCAAAGTGGGCGTGGTCGAGCTTCGATTAAAAGGTTTCGAAAGTGGTCCAGGGGGCGAAGCCCTTGAAAATTGTGACAGTTTAGGGGTTTCAAAGGCTTACTTAATCGACTCCCCGTCAAATTGTGCTTTTTCTCCCCGACCCGACGGAGGGGGGGGGGGTAGCCCCAGAGTTACCTAGGTGTACTGGCTCATACAGTCCCTAGGCCATGGTACCGCGGTTTGCCGGGTAGCTCAGACACAAAGAGACCCTTAGGGGAGAAGCAAGATATTGTACGAGGTCCAGACCTCAGTGCTTTGAGTGCGAATACATTACATTATTATGATATCTTTTTGATTGAATTGGTCTCGTAAGTTGATGTGGAAAATGGATATTGTTATGGTTATACAAATGAAAACACAAGAGGTTGTTAGATTCGATCATGACAACCCTGGTGTTAATTGCAGTACAGTAAAAGGTTAGTATCAATACGAAATGATTCAGTATGCGATGAAGGCAAGAAACCAAACCCATACTCATTGTGAATACGATAAAGGAAACCAATCGAAACCTGAAACTATTATTCTGAACAATGATAACCAGAATTGTAGACAATTTTAATTTTCATAATTGTACATGCGTAACGTTACTTGGTTACAGGTCGCAGCATTTCAAATAATTTGCTCTATTCAATATAGTAATAGAAAGTGCTTTTCATTGGACATAAATACTCCCGTTGATGTTGACTCTCTTGCTGCTGCTGCTCTACAACAACTACTACATCAACAACAACTACTACTACTACCACCAGTGGCGGGTTTAAGGAGGCCAGGACGGGCCAGACCGGCCCGCCCCTCCCCCCGCCCCCATTTTTAAAAATTATTTATAAATTATTTACAAAAAATTGAGAAGAAAAGAAAATTACATTCAAATTTAAATATGGGAGTGCCATTTCCGGGCCATCTAGAAGTATATATATATCTTGGTATTTTAAATTTGTGTTGATGATATTTGTTGGCGGAAATTATTTATCAAATACATTGCGTGTTTTATCAAGGCAGTTTAACAGTTTCCTTGATTTTATACACTAACGCCATTCAAATATACTTCAATCGGTAATAATTGAATTTAATAACTAGTAGGTCATGCAATAAGCAGTGCCTGTCGGTTCTGATAACTTTACAATGTAATATGTAATCAAATAACACTCGCACCTTTGTTGATCTACATCTTAACACAATCTTGAATTTGATGAAGTGGCAGATAGTGGTCATATACTGCCATACGGATATTGATAACATAACCGACTCACAGTACACCAAATATTAACACAAACTGAAGAG